AGTACATGCCTAACAACATTTCGAATGGCAAGTCGTCGCTAACCAAGAACGAGAGCTTTTGGTTAAGCTCTCCTCCTCCATAGGAGTAGGTACAGACTACGTCCTTGATGTAGTCTGTGACAATCATGCGCTCTTTGTTGGCCAAAGTAGATGCTACTGGTCTACTAAGGTGCCGTACCTGGTCCTGTAGGTGCAGCCTTTCCAAACAATCGCGACTTATGTAATTTCGCGTGGATCCGTTGTCTATGAAGGCTCCACATTTGCGGCCTCCTACATCCAGTTCCACCACGAAATGTTCCTCTTTAGGACCCTTCTTTAGCGCCACCGAAGACTCGCGAGGGTCCTTGTTTGACCATTCGCCTTCTATGTCTTCTAAGGCTTCAAACACATCTAACGTACAGAGCATAGTTTGGTCTAGATGCGTCTGCGGGGTGACTAAGGAGTCATTAACTTCGGCCTTGTCATGAAGTGAGGAGGGTATCATGCCCACTTCATCTTGAGTAGAAGCCGCTACTACTTCCACTGGCCCTACGCGTTTCCCGAGCTAGAAGCCTGGGAATAAGTTGCCCCCACTTTTGGCGCAACCTTTTGCGCAACCTTAGCGTTCTGACACTTCCACTGCGTGTGTCCGTTCTCTCCGCAGTTGATACAAGCGCCACGCATTCGGCGGTCACGCCACACATCTTGATCAAGACCTGCCTTTACCCACTCAGCCTGTTTGGTCTGATTGGAGGTGGCCTTCCCTTGACCCCTAGGCTGGCCTTTCCCTCGACCTGCCGCCTTAGTCTTAACTACTGCGGCGAGGGTGCTACCCTCAGCTACCTCCTCGCCGTCATACTCTGAGTAGTCCAGCAGGTCAGAGAGCTCATCAATTTCAGTTTGAGTCCCATCAGACTCAACCATCATCAACTTCGCCCCCTTCTTCTTACACTCCTGAGGACTCTTCTTCTTCTTTGAGTCATTCCCTGAGGTGGGTTGAGCATTGCCTAGCATGGCCTCTAAGTCTAAGGCTTTCCTAGACAATGTCTCAAACGAGTGGTACTCGGTGCGTGCCTCACTGGCTAGTAAGTTCCTCATGTTCTCTGGGAGACATTTGACAAATGTAGTCAACAGGAAGTGGTCGCTGTAGTTGATACCTGGGACGAGGATCAGGTTCTCAACGGTAGTCGTAAGCTCCCTAACTGACCTGAACTTGCGTTGGTCCAGTTTGTTAATGGCATCAGTGGCCCTTTGAGCCTCTTGTGGGTTATGCCATCGAGCTTCTACCATCTCCATGAATTGGTCTAAAGTCAAAGACTTAGCCCAATCCGCCATGCGTCTTCCGTACCCGGCCTTCACAACTACACCATCTAACCACTTGGCTGCCTTACCCTCAAGGTTAGACGCCGCAGTTACCACTTCGTCCTCAAGCAAGGTCCTTTTGGCCTTCACCCAAACCGGGACTGTCCTCAACCAAGTGTTGAGTTCCTCGTCCTTTCTCTCGCCTTAGAACGCCAGAGGCGGTTTCATTGGGGTCTTGGGATACCATTGACCTTGCGGCTGTCCAGTTGGCTGAACAGGTTGTTGTGGTGGCGCAGCAATCACCACTGGACCCGAAGAAGAAGATGCAACAGTCTGTGCTGCTGCTGCAAATGTGCCACTTGGCTGTGTGCCAGCTTGTACGGCAAAGGGGCCTGACATCGCCGTTTACGACAACGACGATTGTGCTGGTGGCCGGAATCCTGACTTTGTCAATGCATCCAGTATCTGGTCCAATGTGCTTTGCATGAAGTCCATCCTGCTGTCTACGTGCGCATGCAGTGACAACATGTTGTCCCTCAACACTTTCACGGTGTCAGAAAAACTCGATTCGTCCAATCCCTCTAACGCAGCCTTGTCAGCCTCTAACGTATCAAGTCAGGCTGCTCTACTTTTTATCTCTTTTTCTCTATCGGTTGCTTTCTTCAGATCCTCCTCTAACTGCTGGCGGAGCCTCTCGACCTGTTGGATCTCTCTGAGCTCCCTCTCACGTGGGTTCAACGGGCTGAACTGCTAGCCCGCCATTTGACTAGAAGACCGTCTAGACCCTGTTGACCCGGAAGTGCCCGAGGAACTTGTGGAGATCAGCGGCATTCCCAAATGAGTCCCACTAGTCCCTGACGATGACGCAGCAGAGCTGGTACCGTTAGCCATTGTTGTTGCTCTGGCTGCTGTTGCCCGCTCTCTTGCTACTCTGTTTGCTTCCTGTAGTCCTGCTGCTAGAGCACGGGCTCTACGTTCGGCACGAAGCCGTCTTTCTTCTCCCTCGTCTAAGGTCCTGAACACGTTCAAAACGCTTAATGCATCTGCACGTGTAAGTCTTCTATTGTCTGCTCTATCATCAACATGATCTGACCCACTCATTAGTTAGGCAGATAGTTTCTGCACTAGAATCCCCTAGTGGAATCCTACCACAGCATGTATCTGACCGGCACCTAATTTTCAAACAATAGTTTTGTCCGGCGAGTACCCTACTATACTGAATCAAGTGGCATGTCTACAACATTCACACRGATTGTCTACATAGTCTAGATGCACCCTGATTGGTTCACTTACARCAGCATTARTTAGARCTGGCTATGGTAGCATACWACAGTCCTACACTAATCTGTCTGTGAGGTTAGCAGTCCGTCAACCAACTAATCAAARGTACAAAAAGACAATGTAGCAGATGTATGATTGATGGGTATGGTTGTGTAAACAGTTGAGCACAAATTGGAACCTACCCTTCCCCTCAATCCAACATACCGAACAGCATCATTGAGCGAGCAGTGTCTTCGTGTGTGAATCGGCCCACCCCTGTGCCCAAGTTGTCACCGAGCAAGCCAGCCCAACCACTCTTATTTACCCTCGTACGGCGATGAGCCTTCCTGTCCATGTGATCTGGCTGATCAGGAGGGATTTATAGAGCGCCCCCATCTCTTCAGGAATTATTTAACGTCGCAGTCAGGACGACGAT